CCCTTATATGAAATGTTAAAGGGACTTATCTAAGAAAAAGAAAATAAAAAATATGAACAGCAAAAAAAGACATCAAACTCACAGGTAGTAACAACCATACCTAAAACAAAAGCAAACTAAGCAAACAAATAGAACAGGAGCAGAACCACAGAAATGGAGATCACATGGAGGGTTAGCAACAGGGGAGTGGGAGGAGGAGAGAGGGGGAAAAGGTACAGAGAATAAGTAGCATAGATGGTAGGTAGAAAATAGACAGGGGGATGGGCAAGAATAGTATGGGAAATGTAGAAGCTAAAGAACTTATGACACATGGACATGAACTAAAGGGGGGGATGTGGGTGGGAGAGGGTGTACAGGGTGGAGGGGAGTGAAGGGGAAAAAATGGGACAACTGTAATAGCATAATGAATAAAATATATTTCTTAAAAAAGTGGTCCAGTTTTATTTTTTTTGCATGTATCTGTCCAGCTTCCAGTATGCTTTTATTGTTTGTAACAGTCTACTTCAAATTTTTATGTCAATGTTAGCATGCCCTTCTGAAATATATTTTTCTTGTTTTATGCCCATATAGTACAATTTATGTAACATATCATAACAATGATGTTCTTGTTCAAAAGTTAGATTATATGTGGTTACTTTTATATTTAGCAGCAGGGCATTTATTTTCTTAATTGGACCGCCATTTGTCCACTATGTGCGCTTAAAACCTAACAGACACAAACTAGATTTTCAACATTACTAAAACAGTGAATATTAAATATCATAAAATATTTTGACTAGAAAATCACTATCCCACTTATATGACAATATATCTGATTATGATTTTCAAAATGAAAACTTTCAACAAAAACATTATATCATTACAATAAAATCCAATTCTTATTATAAATCACAGCTGGTTTTTCATATTATTTTCTGTAGAAATAGAGTAGCAATGATGTTTTTATGGGGAAAAATTCTAATACCTTTATCCTGGTCCTTAACATCTTCCTGGTATTTGCTAAAGTTTGAACAAAATATAGGAAATGCCCCCAAAACAGGGTACTTTCTCAGCTCTCCTGGAGCTGGATTTCTGATTTCATCTTATATTGTTTGCTTTACCACGTATTTGTTATGATGGAATATTTCTATTCCATAATATGCCTGACCAAAATCCTATTCTGAAATTTCACGATTGAGTGAACTGGAAACATCAGAAGCAGACAGTAGCGTTATTCAAATGTGCCTTTAGGGGCATCAGTGTGACTGAAAATACGGCCATATTGCTTGAGATAAAAGAACATGAGTATTTTAGTCTGGAAGATACTTTAAACAATATCTAGTTCAACTCTCTTATTTTATAAATAAAGTAATTGAGCCCTAGGAAGCTTTAGACACAAGCATAAATTCAGCCAAATAATTAGTAGCAGCACAGTCTTCCCTAAACCGTATCTCAGTTCTTGTTTTCAAGTTCAGGTTTTGAAGTCCCTTATATATAATTGCTACATAAAATATTGCAGATGAGCCCTGGCTCCATGGGTCATTTGGTTGGGGTGTCATCCCGTACACCAAGGGTTGTGGGTTCAATTTCCTCTCAGGGCACATATTTCAGTTGCGGGTTCACTCCCTGGTCAGGGCACACACTTGGATTGTGGGTTAGGTCACGGGTTCTGGTGCATTCGGGAGGCAACCAATCCATGTTTCTCTGTCACATCAATGTTTCTCTTTCTCTCCCTTCCTCTCTCAAATCGATAAGCATATCCTCAAGTGAGGATTTTTTAAAAATTGCAAATGAGTCAAACTGAAAATTTTATTATGACTTCTAAAAAGTCAAACTAAGTCACAGATTAAATGTAAAAAGTTTATTAATTAGTAGTCAAAATAGACAAAATGAATCAACTCTTAGGAAAGATAGTGTCAACAAACAGGCACATTATTAAGTACATTTGGCAATTATTGTCTTTGTTTTGTGATAAGGAAACTTGTGTCAAGAAAGAGTTGGGTATTCTTTGTTGTTGTTATTTAAGTTCTTTAAACTTGAGAAATACCTTAAGCTTAAGCTTTAATAAGCTTATTTAAAAAATACCACAAACACAAAAGGAAATATTTTATCACAACCTATAAAAAGTAAGAAAGAAAACAAATGCACAGAAAGCTCCACAAAGTGAAAATTTCCAACTATTTATTATATGGTGTTGATTAAAGATTGTAAAGGATTGTTAAAACATCCCAGTTCCTGAGCTGCTGAGTTCAGTGCTTTAGGCTGTCTTTAATAGCAAATATAGGTTAACACCTCAGTGAATGAAGTATTTAAATGATGTTTTTGTGAAAATTTGCCAATGTCATAATGTAAAAGATTTTTAAATTTGTGTGAATGTAAGGATAAATTTCAAAAAAGGGCTTCATTGCTACTGAAAAAAAATGATGCTTGTATTTTTATAATAAATTATGTGTAAGACTCTTGTTTGGCTTTAATAATGATGAACTTCGGCTGAGTATGGCTTTGTCACTGATTCTGTCAATTTAGACATTCTGTCTCAGATTCCAGCACCTAATCCTACCTCTGAAAAATAAAATCAATGATGCAAGGTAACTGTTAGTTTGCGGTTACTAAAATTCAAAGGAAAATATTTAAGTTCCTTTATAAATCTTACCAACCGATTCAGTCTTTATTTGTAACAGAAAATAAATCATTCAGTGGGTCTGCCAATACAGATGATAAACTATCACTCAGTCTAATTTGCACTGGAAATAATGATGCAGTCAACTTGGTATTAATTCATTTTAATCAATTCTTGAACCTGGAAGTCAAAACATCTTCCCACTGGGATTTCTACAATAGTTGTTACCCTGCAGCTCATCCAGATAATTTACTAAATATGCAGGCAAAAGGACCGATTGCCATGTTAGCTCAGGAGTCAGGAATGAAGGACATATCAATAAAATTTAAAATGATAATTGGCTTGAACTCACCCAGGGACACCAAAAAAAAAAAAAAGTGGTACTGACAAGAAGAATGATTTGGGGGATATCTATTCTTGTAGGTCTTTCCTGTGGCTGTAACAAAAATTTCTAGTGGCCAAATGTCTGCTTAATTCACAAATCTGGACTCATTCAGTTCAACATAGAGCCGTATTTTAATAGGTTCCAATGAAACCAAGATGGATGTCATCTCTGTCTGCGGTTGATGGAAGGAAACATTCAAACAAGAGAATGCAGTCCAACACTGAGGATATTCAGTCATTTCATCCTGAAATCCTTCTGGGTTTCTATAAGGATTCCATAAAACGCTTGACATGCGTTTCATCTTTATTAGATTTATACGACTATACTCATAAATGCTGAATTTAGGGTATGCAGTGAATTTCCACTTTAGTGCCAAAAACATTTTCAAGAATTAAGTCTAATCCAAATGATGCTTTAATTCCAAGCCTAAAAAATTAGATGTTGATACCTAAATTTCATGATGATTGCAAAAAAAACACACAAAAGAAAACTATTGCAACATACTAAATTTAAACTTTCAATGGCTTTAATTTTAGTCAGCAATTTGGAAGTTTCCTGGTTTTGCTTCAGCAAAGTATTATTCTTTCTGCTCATAATTGCCTAATGTAACCAGTCTACTGAGTGTCTATTAAAATAAATATCATGTTAACTAGATAGATCATGCTATGTAATAAAAAGAAATACTTCTAGTTGCATTGGATGAATAAAACACCTAGATCTCCTGGTAAAACCTTATTAATTTGATGCAGACCCAGATGGATTAAGATTGTTTTAATTAAAGAAAACTGAATATAACTTTAAAAAAAAACTAATTTTCATTGCCTTTCAATAATGTACAGTAAAATAAACATGGCTAACAGAGTATTGCCAATTAGTGGTTATTTGTAACTATAGTAAATGAATAAATATAAATACTTTGTAAATAAAATATTATTTTTTGCAAAGAGATATTTCTATAAGCCTCATGTTCATATTTAGCTTATATATAGCACACTATATACACTATGTATTTGTATACATGCTATTAACTTTTTTATTCTTGTTATTAATATATACATTTATCTATATACCTAATATATCTAATATAGCTATACATCACAGTATCTATCTATCTATCCCTACCAATCTAACTGCCTTCTATCTATCAAGCCACTTGAAAAAGTCCTTTATCCACAGAGGCCAAAATAAATTTAATAAACAAATTCTTTATAGATAAACATTATGAATGTGAACTAGAGGTAACTGCTAAAATTATCACAATTCGCCATTTTGAAATAATGGTTACTAAGGTGAGAACAAAGTTACACAGAGTTTAAACAATTGGAACACATGAGTTAAACTAAAAAAAATGGAAATATTAACAATTCAGATGCAAGTGCTTTTTAGTATTTTTAAATAGTAACCACAAAGTTACCCATTCTGTTGATTTTTAAGTTTTACTTCACTGAGAGCCTGATTTTATTCTAGCCTTTTCTCATTAATTGCTGACCTTTCCCTTTCATTTAATGTTAATTACCACGCAATAAATACATCAACAATGCAACATGGCCTGAAATAGATTAGTACCCTGAATGTGACCATGAGAAAAAGATCCAATTCTTGACTTAACAGAGACTAAACATGTCTTATTTATAAGCTCCCTTTCTCCTTTTTCATTTTTCCAGTACATTCCTTTATTAAAACACTGTTAGCAATCAAATCAGTGATGATTTTAACATTTTATTATCACTAAAAACTTTGTTTCAATGTTTTATAAGTAAAAGGCAACAACGTAGTCTCCTTGATTGTGAAAAGCCTTTTCAGGTCAAATCCTTTTTATGCCTCAGATCTTAGGACACACTAATTTTTGAGATCATGTCTTAACGCTTTCTATGGAAGGTGATCTCTTATTGAGAAGGAATAAATAGCTACACTGTTTTTAGTTTTCTATGTTACATTAAATACACCTATACTGTATTGAGCAATAATAAACAAAAAAAATAGACATATGGAATAATATATTTGGGGTATATTCAACTTATGCTATTTATTATCATGAATATTCGATGTATTAATATGATGACAAAATATGAAATAGTTTAAAATCTTAGTTATTGAGATTGAAAGATAAATCAATAGTAGACTATGAATCATTATTTTATTTGATGATACAAATAGTATTACCATAAATTCTAGAGATGTTTGCTTGTCCTTCAGTGTGTTCCTACCTCTCATAGGGAAGAGAAAACATTAATGTCCTTATTTAGCTTAGTATGCTATAGGTAATATATACGTGACTTTTAGACTAGTATTTACAAAAACAATAATCTACTGCAAAAATGTACTAAGGACTTCTTCATGGTCAGAATCCAAAATCAGAAAACCCAGGAGATCTTATCATCATATAACAAGCCTCTTTGGTTTTATTTATTTGGAGTGATGGGACCAATCATTTGACTGAATTGATACATGTCATTTACCTGTACAATCTGGTTCAAGATTAGGATTATGATGCTTAATATAATAATATGTCAAACTTGAAAAATTAGTTGTTGTTTTCTTTGTTGTTTTTATTTTATATTTTGGTTTGTGGGCTGTGCAGTAGTATTCAAAGTTCCCCAACATACGATAGTGATTTCTTCACAATTTCTTTCTCAAACTTAGATGCACAGTGGAATCACGTGGAAAACTTTAAAAACTGCCAGTACTCAAGTTCTACCCCCAGAAATTATGATGCATTTTGGATAGCAACCTGGGCATTGGGTCTCATAATGTCTTCCCCAGGTGATCATAATGGGCAGCAGACTTGGCATCTCTGAGTGTATATAGCCATGGTATTCTTATGACAACTCATTGCTGGGTTGCCTCCCAACTTTTTCAACTATTCTACTTACTGGGCAGATGGTCTGCCTTTCCCACTCTCCTCTCTTACTACAGAACTTTCCATCAAAGCTTGAATGTGCCTTACCAAAAACATCAATTACTTTGACACATTTATTTTTGTAATTTTTGTAAACATGTATATTTTATATATGTTAGAGACAAGGACAGTAACTTTTAGCAGTGTTTATTTTTGTTAAAAGAAACTGATGGAATTGAAGGTCAAATTGCCTTCTAATTGCACAGATTAAATGAGAAGGTATTTCATATTTTAGCTTAACAAAGCTTCTTATTGATTTGAAAACATCCATACTATTGATAAGTTCAAGATGAAACCTATATATAATAAGAAGACTAAAATATTTATTTTACATATCTACAATGTGTATTCTCAAATTTCTAGATCAACCACAAATCATTCAGAAAAATATTTAGGTACAGGAAAAAGCTTCATAACATAAAAAAATTACATTTTGAAAAAAATCACGTGAAAGCTCATTAAATAATAACAATGACAAATAAATAATTAACTTTACTTATTAGCGGCTGCCATGCATTTCTGGCATTCCATTCCAAGCGAGGGTCAGCATGCAGGGTACAATTTCATACTATGAGACTGTAAAAAGCTACAGGGCTTATTTTTGAAGTGAAATGTCACAAGGTCTCTCATTCTTTCAAAGGATGATCATTCATGGCTGCTAAACTGTTCCATGAAGATTACAAAAAACAGAAAGCACCCTTCTGAGGTGTTATTGTCAAGATTCAAGGCAACAATTTTTTCTTTTGACTTTTCAGTTTTGGAGGAGTTTTATGTGAGGAGGGGGGATGGGTTAAGGAGTGCAGGGTAACTGAGAAGCCCTTTTCTGTTTTAAAAAGTAATTATTCAATATATTGTATGTATATAGTATCCCCAGTCTTTTAGGAACCACAGAGAATTCAAACTACAGGATGTGTGGAATTTAAATACAAATTGCACTCATGGATGTGTGTACATTTTGAAAAACTTGTAAAGAAAAAGCTATTCCCAAAGACTGCCCTGATACTTAGGACAGATTGCTGAGTTTGATCAAAGCCGAAAGCATGTATTTTCAAATAAGAAAATAGCAATGGCAGGCTTGAGTCTTCCAAGCAATCAAATCTGTAAAGCAGATGGTTACCAGTCAGTCCAGTTTTGAGAGTCTGAGTTCTAACTCATGCTGTGCTTGCTGGGTTTGCTGGCTCTTTTCCGCTCTCTGTGATGCTGGGCTGGCTCGGCAGGCGACATGCTCTCGAAGTTATGACTGGACTCATTGTGCTGCCGAGTGTACCTCTTGCACTTGCAGGCGGTGACCACGGTGATTTTGTAGGTGCGCGTGCTGCCATCTTGGCACTGCAGCTGGATTCTCTGGGTACGCGTTTTGTCATTGACACACCTCCACTCCTGGGAGCTCCTCCTGCTCCAGTACTTTGTTCCATAGCCTCCTCCGATCCAGTTGGGGAGCAGCGGCAAGGGCAAGCACTCACCCGCGCACACCAGCTCCTTCAGAGGACTGATGCTGGTGCACTGGCCATCAGAGATGTATTTGGTGGAACGCAGTTCCCGGCAACCCACTTGAACCCGAGCTGCAGGAAGCAGAAAAGAAAGTATATCAGAAGCATAAGCAAGTGGACTTTTATTTTACAAGGAATCTGCTATGACAAAAATATTATGCAAATGATAGCGAGTTGCCGAATAGAAAGGGAACATCTATTTTATTTCCACAATGCAAAAATCTGGTTATAGAGATACTTTGATGAAAATGATCAGTTTACGTGTCTATAATTTTTTGGAATACAGTAAAACTAGGCCTGATTTTTTTCATATATAACATTAGCTAATTGTTTATTGAGGTATTTGAAAATCCCATTTTCTTAGTCTCACTCCCCAATATGGCTTAAGTAACTCTTACACTTACGTGTAAAAAAGAGTATATTTTTAATGTTCTTTTTCTCACAGGTCATATTTGTTTACATCTACAATTGCTTTTAATTAGTCATTTTAATCTATTGACAAAATATTGGAAGTATTTAAGTATTGTATACAATGTATATTATCTCTGTAACATTTTGTTTCATTATCAAATTAAGCTGCAAAGAATCATCCAAGCATATGTGTACAAAGTCTGACACTTGGCATATTAAACTTAATAACTACACTTGAAACATAAATTCCCAAGCTATCTTTTAAAAACACAAATATTAAAATGTTTTTAATGCAAAATGTCACTACAACTGAAAATTTAAAGGATATAAAAGCCCCTAAATCAGGAACGTATGGTTGCCATAACAACTTGGCTACATTTCCATAAATTTTATGGCAGAAAAATGCCTAACATGTCTGATTTACAACTGCAAAAGGAACCATGGTGTTCATTTCCTGAATATTGGTCATGGCAAACTTTTTGTTTAGTTATTTGAATTTAATAAGTGTGTTTTCTAATTGGCTGTTTCTTGTTACTTGCTTTATGTAATTAAAGCAAAAATTAATCTTTAAATATTTATTTTCCTTTCCATTGCTTTGTTATCTAAATTTGAGGAAAATTGCCTGTAATAAGCTTGAAAAGAAAGCAAGGCTTGTGAACCAGGAAAAAATGTTTAAAAGTATAACTGCTGAAATTTAAAACATTAAAAATTATCAAAGACATTGAAGTGGACTTGCACAGACAAGTGAAAGCTGATTAGAAGTAGCTATTGAATTAGGAGCTTTGCTTCCTCTCCGTGCCCCTGTACTGAGGTGGGAGATGTAGCCCAAAGGGCTGTGATAGTGGTGATAAATGGATCTCTATATACACACATTTGTATCACCTTAGAGTGGGAGATTAAAACTAAAAGGTAAACTGGCTGGCTGGTCAGTGTGCTCTCCTGTCTGACTCATTCCAGGTCACCTTCCTGCAGCTGCCTTAGGAATGCATCTGGAAACAGCCGGAGATGATTTTGACTTGTCCAGCTTTTTGTTCCTGTATACATAGAGATTCAGCATTTTTTTCATTGACAGTTCATTGACAATGAATACCTACCACATTGCTCAGTAATCTAATAATAATCAGATATTTCCTGCGTACGCGAAAGCAACCATCTTCATGAAAGCTAAAACATCTTGGTTTTCTTAGACATTTACAGTCATATGTGCTTTGACTTTCCAAAGGTCAAAACTACTTTTCACAGTTGAATGGAGTTGAGGAGGAGGAGCAACAGATCTGTAAGACTTCCTGTGCACTGTTTCTCTGGGTCTCTCCTAAAACCTGATTATTAGCATGTGAACTCTTCTAAAGGAAAGCAATGAAGCAAAAGTTAGGAAAAGAAATTTAAACCCCTCCAACTAAGCACACAGAAAAGGGAAGCATGCTGCCTGTATAATATATGATTGCACTGTTATTATTTTAAACCTCTAAAGTTATAAGAGCTTCCCCGGTCTCTCACAGAAATATGCAGTTACCTAAATTTTGATCTGGTTAATAAGAAATTATCTGTGAAAAATATGGTTCTCCAACATTTTTAGTTTTATCCTTCTTTTACATTGATCATCGTCAAAACTTTCTACTATTTCTCTAGGCATATTTTTGAAATTCATGGTGAGCAATTTTTTTTCCCAGAAAGTGTCTTTTTTTTCCTTGCAATTTCTTTTGCATTCTTTAGTTAGTTACCTTTATGCACTTTACCAGAATTGTACATGTCCTGAAATAAACAGAAAACAACCTGAATTTAAACTATCTAGAAAAACACTTTTAAAAAAAAATTCTCATTGTGCATGACATGAAGAAGCAACAGTTTAATTCCTGGAAACATTTTCTCTTTGGGTGTTTGATAAAACTTAAGTCTGTGCTTGCATTATCAAATTACTGTTTCAGTTATGTTAACTTTATAGGAAAGAATGCCAGTCTACACATGCAGCAGATTACTCCCAGATTATGTAGCAAAATATATATGGTTCAGGTTAGTTAGCAAAGAAACAATTCTACAAGAGTGTGAGCTAAAGGCTACCAAAACAGAAAAGACAAAATCCACATAAGTAAAACACACTTACTGTTCCGATCCAGTCCAGTGTTACTGAAATGCCTGCCTCCATTTCTGGCTTGATTCATCGTGCTGTTGCTGCTGGGGTGTGCTGGAACAGGTTTAACCACATGTGAATAAAGGATTTCTGTGGCATCATTTTTAAAAGCCAAACAGCTTTTCATGAGGATGCATGCAAGGGGAATAAGATAGAAATGAATGGCAGGAGGAAGCATGGTGAGTAGAGGATTTGCTTGGCTGGAGAGCTAGTTAATTCCTTTCCTTCTGCTTCTGCTCTGTAACTGTGAAATTCTTCCTCAAGGTTCCCTTTATATATCCTGAGGTTTGGCGTTCATTCAGGTGTAAAGTTGTGTAGAGCTTCAGAGTGAAAACACAGAGAAGGGGTGGGATCCCTACATGACCTGCAAAAGAATTTTACCAATGGAAGAGAAGACTACAGAAAAGGAGGAGCTTGATATACAAATTGCCTGAAATTTCAGAGTTGCACTTCATCAGTTGTCTGTGAGCTGAAGCAGCCAGGCACATTCTATAGCAACGACAGACTTTCTCTCTCTGCCATTTCCCTTCCTGAATCTAGTTCACATTAGGGTTTAACTTCAATAAAAATATACTGCTGTTCATTTGAAAAGATTTACATTTCCAGAGTAGTTCTGTACTCCCTTAAGATTTTAGAGTATTTTGGTGGGAGGGGTGTTGTCCCAGAAAATAGGAGGAATTAAAATGAGTTTAAATATTGTGGGACTTGCATGAAGCACCCATTTTAGTTAACCATATTTTGTTTCTCCAGAAGCAAAGCAATATATATTATTCTTTCTTTAAAGTAGAAGGCATGGAGCTAGAATCTGCCCCCTGGACACATTTAAATAATGCAGCTTTGATCTGCATGGACTACTGCATGGCTAGGTAAATTATTGCCAGGGGTCTGTGCAGAGAATAATGAGCATAGCTCTGTCTGCATTAAAGTAATTAATATCAATTTTCATCTTAAAAATGTCACAAGCATTAACATTCATGGCATCATTTTACATGAAAAAAAGCCATTTCTGACAGATTATTGTTTAGCAAATTCAAAATAATTTTTCCTAGTGTTCTACCTGTACTTACTAAACATTTCTTAGACTCTGCTGACCATGCAAGAAACATTGTACTTTTATTACCCAGCCCTGAAACAGTGCACCATTAATTAATACTAAACCATTTTTCTCCATCTTTAAAAAAATCATGAAATTCCATCTGATTTATGGGACACTTCAGTTGTAATAATTACATATTATTGTTCATCTTTCTGATGATTCCAGTTTATGGAATCATCTTTCCGATGATAAATCCATTTTACCCTTTGCATGGCTACACTAAAGTGACCTTATAGCATGGGTATATTGTATCTCTCTTCTTTCTAAACTTTTGCCCATTTTAATGACTGACTATTCATGTCTGTCTGTCTGTATATCCATCTATCTATCTTCCTATCTCCAGTATCTTTGTTTCTCCACAACGACACTGTTGAGATTTTGAAGTAGATAATTCTTTGTTACGAGGAGGCACCGTGTGTACTGCAGCATACCTGGCTTCTACCCACTAGGTGCCAGTAGCACCCGCCAGCTATAGCCAAAAATGTCTTTAGACACAGACAATTGTCCCCCTGGGTGAAAATCACCCCCAGTTTAAAACTACTAACTATCTCTCCACCTATCTATCTCCCTATATAAAAAAAAAGTTAAATTAAGAATAAAAGACTATTTAATAATACTAAGAAATTATTGTTCTTTTATTTAGGAGTAAAATGGTACTGTAGTTATGTTTAAAAGCAAAGACTACTTCTCATTTAGAGTTATACACTAAAATATTCCTAAATGAAATGATATGATGTCTGAAATAAACTTCAAAAATAACATGGGAGTGGATGGGTACAGGTAGGCATGGGGCAAGATTGCTAATGGGCTAGATGATGACTATTCTATTCTGTTTACTTTTGGTTATGTTCAAAATCATACATAGTCAAAAATTTAAAAACTAGAATAAAAATTTAATTTAATGTGTACATACAGCCTAACAATCATATCCCTACCTGAAGGTTGTAGATAGTCATTTATGCTGATATAATCCCTGGGAAATAATACATCTGTTTATTTGGTACACATGGAGGTTGTATGTCAGGCATCCTTCTAAAGTACTAATTATTAAAAATTATTTATCCTGCTTATTAGGGAACTTGACATTAATTACATGAAGTATGTTAATATTAACCATGGACCAGTAGACCCAATGCCTAAAGGAAGTAACAGTGTCAAAATAATCTAATTTCTTTCCCATAACTATTTCATTTTTGTGCCAGAAGGGGGAGAGATTTTAATGTGAAGTTTCATTATTAGGTTGGAGTAATCACATTGATCAAAATAACTCATAACTGATAAATCTGCCCTACACCTAGTATTCTGTAGGCCACACCTCAGGATATTACCTTAGGCAGAAGCAAAGTCAGGAATGAAGGCAATGTAGTTGGTGCATGTGCACAGGAACAATGCTGAGTTCTTGAGCCAAATAAATCCAGCAGGACCAAATTGGAAAACTACTTTGATAAATTAGAAGCAATCATAAATTTGATATTTAACAGCTATTCTGATCAGTTTAAAACTACTTCATTAAGAATAATCACAAGCTGTAATGCTCTGATGAGATTATGGGTATAAATGTTTAATATCATAACCAACTTAGAACATATTCCCCTGAGCAAGCTATGTTCTTTTGCATCTCTAGTCTCTGTATATACATGTTCCTCCTTCTGCTTGGAACATTCTTCTCTCACCCTTTTCTCATTCCCTTCTTCATGGGCTATACCTTTTTCTCCTTTAAGTCGCATTTTCTGATGGCACTAAGACTAAGAAAACTTCCCTGGCCCTCTGCCTCCTCAGGTCAGCAGCCCTCCACATGTACCAGAGTAAGTAGCTGCTGATGGCTTTGAAAGTCCTATGATGGAACTGTTTTTAGTCAGAGGAAGACAAGGAACATATGATTTCACTCATATGTAGAATCTAATGAACAAACTGAACTAACAAGCAAAATAGACACAGATTCATAGATAGAGAGTAGGCTGACAGGTCTGGGGGAGTGGTGCAGGGGGTGGGATTGAGCAAAAAAGAAAAAGTAGAACTATTTTTATTTTATGAATATTGATGAAGTGAATAAATTAATTTTAAAAATATAGAAAGAATCAGAGTACAGATGGTAAATACAAACAAAATATATTTATAGATGCAATGACAACCTGGCTCTCTATGGATTTAAACTATTTTCAAATGATCCAGTTAATAGAATAAAAATCATAACAAGAAAAGTAATTAACCATCATTATTTTAGATGAAAAAATACTATATAGTATCTTCATGCATAACACTACAGAATCTTCATGCATCAAAATCCTTAAAAAGAGGATAAACTAACATCTTTAATTCACTTTATTTTTTTCCCTTTCATCTATTTTATATCAACATATGTTGAGCCCAGTATTTGTCAAAGCTGTAGTCCAGAAACTGAAAAGTTGAATAAGGCATGGGGCCTGCCTTCTTCCCTTTTCCAAATGCTCCTGTTTACAATGCCACTAAAGGAACTCCTTTAACCTGACTTCCTTCACGATTGTCTTCCTCCCTCAACACATTTATCAGTTGTCCTTGTTGTTGTCGTTTAAATGCTTTTTAGTTTTATTTGTAGAATAAAAGCTCCTTCTAATGCCCTGTGTATCCTAATGTAAAACCCAAATGGAAATTCCAAATCCATTTGAAATAGTTCTAGATGGAGCTTCTCCATCTCAGCACTATTGACATTTGGGGCTGGATAATTCTTTGTTATGAACGCCATCATGTCTGTTGTAGAACCTGTAGCAGCATCCCTGGGCTCCCCCACTAGAAGTGGCCCCTAGTGTGCAAAATCATCCCAGGTTATAAATTACTAGTTTAGGAAAATTCCCCAGTGAACTTCCTAAAAAATATGAGCAAACTACCATTAAGGAAAACCTCACATGCAAGCTCTAGGGAGCAGGTTAGGACAGTAGGGACAAGGCTTTCATCCAATTGCGTGAACTAGGCAGAGTAGTACAGTGTCCTTTTCACTGTCATTTGCTACCTTGTGAGGCAGGGAATTGATATCCTCACTCTGTGTATTCAGCCCACACAAGTTCCTAAACTAAATTTGACCAAGGCTGGCAGCACATTAAATATCCTGTCTCAGTGGTGGGTGGGAGCTGGAATTAGTTTTGTTCCACAAATCTGATAGTTGTTCTAAACCCTGTTTTACTTGGGAGTTTGTTCTATCTGCACATTCTGGCCCTGCTATCAGATCTGCCATCAGACCTGAGTCAGGATCTCTCAGGGTAGAACCCAGGAACCTATGTTTTAACAAGCTTCCCACATCATCCCTGTGTTCACTGATGTTTGAGATGCACTGCTGTAGCATACACACGTGCCCACCTGTGGCCTGTCCCACAGTGTCCATTACAGTTGCCTAATCTACCTAACTGGGCCTCTGTTCCACATTCTCCCAGTTTGAACAATCAGATGGAAGCTCTGCCCTAAAGCTCAGCCCCACTGGCCAAAATCCAAACCAATTTCCTTTCTTCTCTAAGTATTTCTCCCCAGGGACTGGATACTCTCGGTGTCCCCCAGTGACTGATTAATGCTTTGTGCCACAGAAATGGCCATAACAATACCTACAGTGACATTGTCACTCATTGGGATTTTAGGCAGCCATGTCTGGTTTTCTCAGATATCAGTGCTGACCCAGATTTAGGCAAAATACTTTGATCACGGTGGTTTTGATTGTTGTCCACCAGCCTCAGGGGCATCTCACAGCTAAGTCAGCAGGCTCCTAGCCCTGGGGACACTCAGGCTTGCTTCATGATTTCCTGAAGAGTCTCTTACTTAAGTACTGGTGGGTTTCATCACCAAGACTAAATTGGCTATGAACTTACTTCACCAGCAGAGTCTTAACAGTTCGTAATTCCCTGGTATGTCAGAAAACTGGAGAGCAAAAGTATTTAGCAGAGGATTTTGCCCAACAATGCCACAGTGTTTTATGGGAAATAAAGCTGTTGCAGAAATTTCTAATTACATTTCTGATATTTTTAGTGAAGTAGTTTGCTTCTAAGTTATATACAGATGGAAGCTGAAGAGAAGGGAATATGACAGGGAACATGAGGAATAAGTTCGGCTACATTGATTGGATAGGTACATTGGAGCGGGTCATTGATTACAATCCTGCTTTGTAGGCTTAGAAATTTGCACATAATTTGGTGGACAATGAAAAGCCATTGAAGGATCTACATGTGTGCATTTGGGTGTTTATTTTTATTT